CAACATGAAAATTTTGTAAAATACTCTTTTATTCATATCAGTGATAAATCTTAAAGCTAGATTTATCTTCCGTGCTCATACTAGGCCCTTGATATATTTACTTTAGAGAGTAAGTTCAGGAAGTGCTGCTTAGAACCAATTTTACTTCTTATTTTTCATATATCAGTATAAAGTTGCAAGTTGCAAATTTTAGTATTGTATTTGAATATTAATGATTCTCATTAAACTTTACCAAGCATAACATACAAAGAGAAATCTCTACAAGTTTTGTAATATGTGCTTTTGATAAAGGAAAAAATACTCCAGAATCCAGAGCCCAAGCTCTTTGTGAATATGTTTACAAGTTGTATCAATATTGGTATATCAACTTCAAAACTGAAGTGTTTTTCTAAGTAGCTCAACTTTTGAAAATAGCTCTCGTTATACTGTACCAGCTTTAATTCTTCTATCTTAGGAACCCACCCTTAGATCAGGTCAAGTAATTTACTTTCAAAGTGGGCAATTTTGGACAACAGAAAAGATGGCATGAAGAAAGGAGCTCTGGTCTTCATCACAGGACATCAAACTGGAATTTGCTAGGTAAAGCTGAGAAATTGTGGCAAACATTTCTTCCATTCATGACAAACCTAGCACTCTTCAGTATGAGCACCCTGTAATGGTCCACCATACTCCCTTTATTTAGATAAACCTTGCATTCACAAAGCCCCAGATGAGATTTATTTGTGAGCCCTGTTACAGCTGTGTTTCTGACATACCTGAAAGCCTAAATTTCGCTAGTAACATCAGAATGTAAAGCCATATTCTGTTCAGCCAACTTTAATGGAACAGGTAATTAGAAAAGTATTGTTTTCCTCAGGTGTGTTCATTTCAAGCATTTCTAATATTTCTTTAACATCCTTTGAGTGTTCTTTCCACTTCCAAACTCATTTTCACACAACCAGAAGTCTCCCTGTGCAGCTCAACTAGTGGTTTTGTTAACCTCAAACCAAATAAATAGCAAGAGAATTGCTGTAAGCGATGAATATGTGCTTTCATCCATCAACCAGAGAGACATTTATCTGCCAGGATTCTTGACCTGAGGTTTGCTTTCTTCTCTTGAGACATTGAAGTGGAAATGTATGTACAAAAGGATGGATTGTGACAATACTCATTTTGAGGATTGCCTTTCTCCAGAGGCATTCCCAGTGACATTAGTGAGGTTTCTTTCATTGTTGAGAACTAACATTAGTGCATCAGTATTGCAGAATCTGAACCCATCTTTCAACATTATTGCTTTGTCTGAGGTTATTAACTTCACTTCCCACTTGTGTAACGTGATACACACCAGCCAGTCTCAGTACATTCTCCAAATCTACCCGGCACTGGTTTATACGTAGTTGCTTATCAGCAGGAATACCATACAGCTGACACCCAGGGGCTAATTGCCAGTGACTTCTAGGTGACTTTTCTAGGATGGCACGTAAGAAAAGCTTTAATTTCTCCAGGCTCCCTTAGAGGAGAAATAGCTGCAGGAAAGCATCCCTCCCTGCGCTCCTCCCATCCCAACACACTCATTCTTCATTTGGGCTAAGTTGAAGAGTAAGTTGACTAAAATTAGCAGGTTTTTTATGCAAGGTGGAGCTGAATTGGACTTCTGACGTTAAATACACACGATTACTTCATTTATAGTACCTCATCATCAGCCACTGGATTCTGGAAAGCCCTTGGGTCAGCCTCTTTGCCTTATATAACAAGTAAAGAAATGATGAGATGAGGAACACAAAGTAAAGTGTCAGCAATACTCTAAATGCCTATGTCAGCCTGTGCAAACAGGAGAAAAAAACCAGTTTGGTTTTTGGAGTTGGTTGTGGTTTTTTTTACATTTTGTTTAAGTGTAATAAATGACGTAGAGATGAAATTAAAGATGAAAAAAATCACGTAATTTCCCTGCATAGACAACACTTCTTTTTGTTTTCATGGAACAATATTTTAGAGTATTGTAGTTGTAATGAAACCTCTGCTCCTTTTTTTTTTTTTAATGTAAAAGTGCCTCCCTATTGTAAGAATTAAATAAAGCAGCATTTGCAAGTTTCTTTTCATTTTAAGTTGTATTTGCATATCTTTGTTCATTGTCACTGTGCGAGATTTGTCGTAGTGGTCAAATGGCATAATCAGGAGATTCAGCATCAAAGAAAAGAATTGGCTTAAATAATATGCTATTCAAACAGGCATCCATATACTCTAGGTAAATTTTTAAGTTTATTAATTGTGTAATATTGCCCGAGGAAATGAAGCTTTGCTTAAAACTACATGTGGAAGAAAGGAGATCAGTGAAAGTTACTGATTTCTATCTTTTCTACTCCATCAGATGTATTTCATTGTACTTTAGGCATAATCATTTCAGCAAGAGCCATTCAGCATTTATACAGAACAGCTGGACCTAGGCTCTCTGCTTTTTCAGCTCCTCTCCACCAAGTGTTGCAAATCAGCATGTCCCAATTTTCTCGAAAATTAAATTTAGTCATGGAATTGGTTCTCATTTATACCAGAGCAACTTCCTGCTCATATGCCTAGGCTTACTTACATGCTCCAATGCCTGCATGTTCCCTGGCATAGATAGCTGGCTAGATGGTGTACAAACACCTTTACTATTGATATTCAAGATTAGCTCTAGAGCTGTTATCTTCAAAGAAAGAGAGGCCAAACTGATTTTCAGTCAATCTTGCCCTGCTTATCACTGAACAATGCACAGATATTGGTCCTTCGATGTCATTAGTCACATGTGCACACTTAATATTTTGTTGCCTCAGCAACCTTGTTACATCAAAATTGCTCCCAAATCAGGATGGCTATCTCATGTTTCGTCTGTCAAAAATAACAGGTACGTACCAAAAAAAAATTAGATACAAGGAAAGCCATAAAAGCTAATACCAAAGGGGTAAGAAAGACATCGCTTTGTGAATAAAAAGAGAACTGATACTCAGACTCTGGTTTTGTCCCACTTTCTTTTCCTGGCCATAGTCCTGCAGCAGCAGTTCAGAGCTAAGTGACCTTGGCTCCTGTCATTTTAGATAGCTTCTTACCCGACACTTCGATGCATAAGTGCCAACAAAATGGAAATACTGTTGTACTATCATTGAAAATCAAAAGGAGCATTACAAAAAACTCCATCCAAACTACCTATGAAACTGTAACAAGGCTTATCGTTCATGCTTTTAAAAAACGCTTCCTGTCCACGAAATGGCTTGGTACACTGGCCGTATCCTTTTGCTGTAAGGGTAGTTACATTTCTAGAGGAATACACGAATAAGCAGCTAAATCATAAGTTTATTCTGAGTAAGGGAGCTAGTGTGTTGCTTATAGACACTTGAATCAATCAAGTGGTTGCAAATTGGCACAGCTATATGTAATTCAGGACTTAATTATGTTGGATTTTTTTGGTTTTGTTTTTTTTTTTTTAAAGTTTGAAGTTTTTTTTTTTTCTTTGAGGAATTTGTAGCATCTCAGCAAATTAGGATTGTGGAAGAAATAGAAGTAACAAGAAACCAGTATCATGCAACATAGGTTTGCAGAGCCACAGATACTCCCCCTTATCATTCAGGATGAGGGCCATAGGACATGCGACAATATATAAAGCAAAAAACACGCACCACACCCTCCACACCTCTGAAGCAGTTAGGTACATTTGGGGAAAGTCAGACACGCAAAGATACTTTAATAAGCACTGTCTGCATAATTAACATTTTCATACACAAACGTTATCATTAAAGCATGCTATGCAGCAATCTGTGCCAGAAGATTTTCAAAACAGCACAGTGCTTTATTTCTGCCTTTCGATTTTGGCAGCACCAAAAAGGCAGAAATCCAGTCCACCTTGGTGCGCTGGCTTCTATCCAGCCTAGCTGAGCACTTGGAGGAAGGACACACGCACAAAAAACACCCCATCAGAAACAATGGTAGCAAAAAAAAAAAAAAACACCCAACCAAAAAAACCCAACAACAACAAACCCCCCAAAAAAGACACAAAACAACATACACCAAAAACCAGAAGCCATTAAGCCATTTTGATCCAGTAGATGTTTTCACCTCTTTTTCTCTCTTCCACTCTACACCCCTCCAAACACACAAACAACTCTTTCCAAGAAAAAAAAGCAGCACAGCTCACTTTTTAACCTCACATCATCCAGCACAGCAACAGTTTGCTCAGAAATCAGGGCTGTGTCTCCCCATTGCCCAAGGCCAGCTTTCCAAATGTGTGTATTTGGACAGGCAACTGGGGCTTAAACAAGGACTGGAGGTTGCCCTTGAATCTCTGTCTTTAGAAGAGTAACAGAAGACCATTGAAAGTACACGACTCTAGTTTGTGGTGCCAGACCTGCAATAGATTTTCCTCATAGCAAAATAGGTCCTTGAAGCACTTTGAAAAATCTGGCTTTACTTTTGCAAGCCTTAACAGTTCCATGCAGAGTACTGCTTTGCTTCTTAATGCTCATTAAGAAGCTCTGTTTCTCTTCCCTCTTAGCCCCCAGTTAAGAGGTGAATAAACACCGACACAAGAACATACGACTGCAGTTACTAAGAGCCATACAGTTAGCTTTACTAGACAGAGGGCCGGAATCAGCCTTATTCTTCTCTGATCTAGCCAAGGTTCCTCTGCTGAGGGCCCACCACAGAACTAGTGGGGAAGCACATGGTAACAGCAGTGCCGGCACCCGGCCTAAGCAGAGCAAAGATGTGGGGAAGGCCACAGGGCTGCAGAACGACACTTCTAGAACTTATTAGTGGTTTTATTTTTATGATATCATAAATAATATATCAACTTACTAAAAGTAAGATCTTAATTACTAGCATGTAAGAAGACCACTTTAAGACACATGCTGTTATATGAGAATTTTTGCAAGTTTGGCATAGCACAGAAGATTAAAAAAAAAAAAAAAAGGCTTTGCTTAAAACAAACCCCAAGAAAGAACAGTTCATGTATAAAAGAAGCAATTTCTAATTGACATTCAGCAGTAGCTTACCTTTCCAGAGAAGGTTTTTCCCTTTCTTCAAGTTGTGACATGATTCCCATCAACCGAAACTCTGTTTAAAAAAAAAAGAAAAAAAAAAGGTCTTATTAGAGCAAGCCTTACTCTTTTCTAGCCTATCACGGGCTGCATGATCATTCCCACCAGCTGGTCACAGACTCCTGCTAATGCAGCCCATTGAAAAGCAATCTCCTTTTTTAAATCTGGGCAGAAGCCAGCCTTTTGCTTAAAGGGTTTCTTCTGGAACAGAAGGTCGTGTAGGTTTAACAAACCTGTTTGCCTGCAACAGGCAAACCCTGTCACCTTGTAATTCATGTCTTTACATTACCACGCTGGGCAACAGAGGCATTAAGCAAGCTGCACAGATGAAGTTTGTGTCTCAGTGAAGGTTTGTACGCGCTCCTGCAGTCTTTCAGAGGATTCATAAGTAGTTCATTGGCAGCTTCACAAAATCCTCATCATGAAGTCATTACTCTGCATTTGCTGTCTTCCCCAGATGTGAACCAGGATGACATCAGGATCAGCCCCAAACTGTCTTTCCATCCGCTGGGGTGGGCCAAAACCCCCAGTCCTTGGGGCGCTCCACCCCATATGGGAAATGAGATTAGTCTGGGTCAAACAGTCAAGAGAGGAACTGGTGTTCTGTCTTCATAAGTGAAGACTGTTTTTTATAAGCACTTAGCTTTTTAGACAGAGATAAATGAACAGAATTTCCAGGCATTCACCACGTAAACAAGATTTTTCTCTTTGAATAAATGATGGATAAGAACAAACATTTCAAGTAAGATGAGCACAGTTACTGAAGGTCTTTTTAAAGCCAGCTGAGCCTTGTATTACTATTTTCCAAACTATTTACATGGGGAAGACTTTAAAGAAATAACCCACTAGAAATACAGGCTGAATTTTTTTTTCAACAAGGAGACAGAATATTATTACAACAGTTTGGGTTGTTCTTCACACGTCACTGACAATCCTGACCATGGATTTAAATGATGTGACTATTTTTTTCATATTTTGTTCCTGCAGAAAATAAAATGGGTTTTTTTACTGCTATTGTAAAGCACTATTTTTTACTGCTATTGTAAAGCAGGTAATGGTCACTCGCTGACCTGTTTGCACTCTGTAGCAACCTTTCTTCTGAACTGGCTTTGGACTTCTATCAAAAGGTGAAGATACTAGAAGTACCAGGTTCCCCACTACTAATGATATTAGCAGATGATGCATTTAGCAGTTCCTTGCTCTCTTTTGGGTGTCAAGCATGGCATTAGCCAAAGCTGGTGAAGCAGAGATATAAACTATGATCTCAAGGATGGAAAATGTAGTGTAGCTCCTCTGTAAGAAACTAAGAACAAGCTTTGCCAATATTTCAAACATCCGGCTACTGCCAGAAGCCTGAAGATACTGTCTCTAACCAAGGATGAAATTGATTTAATCAGTCTTACCTTACAGCCTGTTGTAGGTCTTGATGTAAAAAAACACTCCACTCCCCCAAAACCCAACCAGTGAGACTTTAAGAGTTGACATTTGTTCCTCAGGAATCTGCACAATGAATATTAAACAGACCCTTGAAGCACTTTGTGCCTTTGCCCTGAATCAATTGTTTTTTCTTGATTAAGTGCACTGATTTTTCTGCTGCTAATGCTGAGTTTATCTCTAAACTTGCAGAGTGTTCGTGAAGGCAGATGGCAAAACAATACATGAAGGAGTGATGACCAAGGGCGCAGAGACTTTAGGCATCCACCTACCATTGGAAGTCAACCACTCCACTACGCTTAATGCTTCTCAAAATCTGTCGTGTTACACAGACAGAAGAGCCTGACCTACACAGTATGTCAAAGGCAAAACTTAAATTGTGTGCTATTCTTTACCAGAACAAAGATCTACCAGGATACAAATACAGAGGTTTATGTTTGCAGTCAGAAAAGAAATGCAATAGGTTCAAACAAAAACAAAACGAGTTTGTGACAGTACCTCACTGGGAGACCAATTTTAACCTGTTCCTTATGATGTCTACAGAGAGTGAGAAAGTAATTTTCCAGAAAATCCAGAGATCTGATGACTTCCCATATCTGTTGTACATTGTACTATTTGAAGGCACAGTGTAATACATTTTCAAGTATTAAGTGTTGAACATAAGCCATGTTTGGTTTAGGCAGCAATGTCAAGTTTGAACTCCTGCTAGAAACTTTCTATCCAGACTTTCAGTTCCCAGTGACAAAGAAAATTACAGTGACACAGACAACTTTTGCAAATTGCAGCTAGATTTAGACACTGATGCAGATGACTTGTAGCCTATAGATAATACATCTACACTCCAGGAAGCAATGATATGTTACAATAACCTGTCTTGCTCTAAACAAGCTGTGTTTGACACCATCATGGAGCATGGTGCAAGCCCATTTGCTCTGCTTCCTAAGGGGGCCAGAAGGCCCAGGTAGCACTGCAGCTATTCTGGCTACTTGTCTGTCATCTCCACAGATATTGCAACATTTGTGGGTTGATTTGCAAATATACTTACAGCAATCCTGTGTGTTCATATTGTCTACAAGGATTCATCTACTCAAAGCCTTCAGCTTTGTGCTGCTGGTCATAAGGTTGACTTTTCACTGGAGTATAATGATAATTTTGTTACCTTGCCTCACAGGGCAAAAAAACCCACTCCTGCTTGCCGACATGTTTATTTTGCTTTCATAGCAAGAAAATATTTTTCCAAACACTGTCCTGAAGACAAATTCACTGTTCTATGTTAGTCCCCTCCTTCCACATATTAGGTTTTCCACCCATCATCCACAGCGGTGAGAGCAGATCTATGGATGTGCTGCTACTCACTGAGTGTTCACATGCGAGTTCATCTGACCACAAATGAAGCATTTTGAGGTCCCAGTGATAGTACGTGTTTGACCTGTTTAGCTCAGCAATAAAATAACAGCTATGGGAGCTGCCATGGCAGCAGTTTCACTTGCAGGGTAATGGGCACATTGGGTTTTTCCAGTCTCAGACATCCGTTTTCTTACGACTGAGTTGGCCATACAGGACTCTAACCTCTTTCTCTGCACTTGTAAAACTCCTCGTTTCCAGACCTTTCATTCTTTCTTTTTTTTTTTTTTTTTTTTTTTTTTTTTTTTTCTCTCTTTTTTTAAAAAAAAAAAAAAAAAAAAAAAAAAAAAAAGTTCTAGGAAAAATATTAAACCC